ATATATATATGAGTGTGTGTGTCTTTCTAGATAGCAAAATGGTAATGGATAGAAAAAAACACGTTGGTACAAAATTACCTTGCAAGCCATTGGACAGTCCTGCGCCATCAGATTCTAGTCTCTCGATCGGAGAGGATAGCAACTGTAGTGGAGAACTATTTAAAAATAAAGGCTCCTTGATGTACTCCCATGCATACGTTCAACCTACAGAGACACTATCTAATTTTTTATTGGAAGAGGATGAGCCAAATGGTATGTGATAGAAACAGCACATTATAAACAACCATAAGATATGTATCAAGAGAATTGTATTTTTTAGATGTGGATATCGAGGATAATGTAATGTCACGCAATGATACTGATCTTCCATCCATCTCTGATTTAATACGCGACTGCCAATATGAAAGTAACAATTTTCATTTGGCACAACTGATGGACAACTGTGACTGGTTGTGTAATACGAGTACTTTATCATCAAACTGTAGTGGCGATGAAATTAAAAGAATCAAGGAAGAAGAATATGACGAATACAGTAATGATAGTCCAATATCCATACAAGAGCAGCTTCCAGTTTCTTGGTTTAAAGAAGCAAAGCGTCGTCAACGACCTTGGTCGAAATCTTTCGTTAATAGTAATTATCTTTTATCGTAAATTGCATGTGTAGCAAATACAAAATACACAAAGATATATATACAAACATACACACACACACACACACACACACACACACACACGTATATAAACATATATATATATTCTAGATGAAAAAATACCACGCATGACTCATCAAGAAGAAGCATATTTGTTGCAAAAGGTCAGTAAGACTGATCTGGACAAAGCCCCGCCTGCTATTAGAAGACTATACAGAAAATTAGCAGTACGAAAGACGAAAAGAGAGTATCGGCTTCCTCTGTTGGACGTCGATTGTTTCGGATCTAAATCTGGAGCTCTAATAATGCCGTTGAGAAACAATGATCGGGTATTGGATCGATTTTTTAATGACGATCTAGAATGTATTTTTGAACAAAGATTGCAAGGTTACACTGAACCTACATCTGTACATAGTCCGTACACAAATAGACTTTTGAAGCCATTTATAAGACGAGATACTAGTTGTCAGCCATTATGGTTAAGAATTATGGAAGAATTATGCATGAAAGTAAATAATAAAGGTAATCCGCAATGGGAACCTTTGCCTAGGACATCCATCGATTATTCTTACATCAGACCACAACACATTCCAGCCATCAACAGTCTCTGTTGTCAATTCTTTTGGCCTGGTATAGATTGTAAGTGATATTACTATAATAGATAAATGTACATAACTATATCTTATACCTAAAAGTTTTATAATTTACTTCATCTCTATATTTTAGTGACCGAATGTTTACAGTATCCAGACTTTACGTGCGTAGTACTGTATAAAAAGTTGGTCATAGGATTCGCGATATTGATACCATACGTTGGCTACAACGAAGCCTACATCTCATTTTTTTTTACACGTCCGGAGTGGCGAAAATCTGGCATCGGCACTTTCATGTTGTACCACTTGATACAAACCTGCATGGGACAAGACGTCACGTTACATGTGTCGGCCACGAATCCCGCTTTAATATTGTACCAAAAATTTGGTTTCAAAGTGGAAGAGTTTGTTCAGGACTTTTATGACAAATACATGCCGCCAAATTCGCGAGAATGCAAGCACGCTCTGTTTTTACGTTTAAGTAGATAATCTTAATTAATAAATCCAGAAATATATCTCTGTCTCTTTCTCTCTCTCTCTCTCTCTCTCGCTCTCTCGCTCGCTCTCGCTCGCTCTTCCTTTTAATCGCGAGAGAAAAAAGTTACGGGAAGGAAAAGATTCAAAACTGGCGCGGCGGCAAGTCGCACGTCATCGAAGATTGACGTCATCGAGGGAGCGCTGCGAAGCTGGCGTCGATTCATTCTCGAAAGTTCCGGAAGCTGGTAGAAGGAAAAGTTTATATATATATGGATGGCGAGGTTACGCGACAGTTTAGTATAGCTTGGTACGCGCGTCGAGAGTTTGGATCTGTTTGCGATTATTCTTTGTCAACTGTCGCGTACGACGTCCATACGTGCTTGGAGTGTCTGCGCGAAACATATACGTGAGGAATAATCACGGGATAGAGATAGTAAGTGACAAAGCTATAATGGGCAGTTACTTACAAAGGCTTAAGACCACTTTTAATAAAAAATCAGAATAACAATAACGGAGTATTCGTAACCTTGTGACCCGTTTGCGAATCGATCGTACGTTTTCTGTACGTTTGTCGCGTACATTATTTTTTTTTTTTTTCCCCTCCCTTTTTGCGTTTCATCGGGATCGATTTTTCGCGTGTGGAAAATGTGAGAGGATGGCAACGACGACAATGGCAACGACACGAAACTCAATCTAAGGGTGGGGTATTTATTTTTGCGTTGCAGCTCGAAACATTCGTCGCGTATTCGCGGTCATCATTGCCAGAAATAGATATCGGTGATACGTACGTGGGTGTGTTGGAGCGCTGCTTCCCGATGGTTTCTCCTTCTCCCCGAGAATCGTTCGAGATTCGAAAAGAATATTCGGAAATTCACGTGGAGATCTTCCCGCTTTTCGCTCGTCTGTCGCGACCAGTCGCGACGCTTTCGATTTGATGGCTCACTTTACCAGATATGTACATGATACTTTATCAAATACATGGAACGGGACGCACACGCGTGTGTTAATGCACGTCCGTGAAAGCGAGCGAATGCGCGAATCGTAGCTTGCTTGCCCTTCCATCTCTCACTTATTTCAATTCGACACTGGAAGTGTTTTATCGTACCAATAATGTGAGCGTGATAGAAGACCATGCGCACGTGACACGTACACAGTAAACTCTAACTCTGAGCCAATATATCAGCAACAATATTAAAGCCATTTAAAAAGCACAGCTCGCATATCTTTGTATTTGGGAAGAAAATAGATTTTTTTCAAATTATCTTAATTCTTATAAAAGAAAGTAATTCATCGTATCGAAGAAGGAACATAATGAAATTACTGTACATTACTTTTTTTTAGATGTGTATATCGTGCACTCTGATAAAAAAAAAAGAAAGACTTTGTAGATTTCTAGACAATGGTGAGCATAGGATCTTTGTGTCTCTCTTGCATCATTCTCCTATAGATCTGTAGAGATCTTGTAATCTCGAGTAAAATTGAAATAATCATGTTGCACTATCGGTTTCAAAGATAAATGGGAACTTTTGTCTAAATATGGGCATAATTTTGTTTTTGTCAAAAAGTGTTATAATTAGGAAGATTGTTATATCAATACAATACTTTTAATGCTTTTTCAGAATAGGCAAGGAGATGGGAAAGGACTACTACAAGATACTTGGCATAGCCAAAGGAGCGAGCGACGAAGAAATAAAAAAGGCATACAGAAAGTTAGCCTTACGATATCATCCTGACAAAAACAGAAGCCCCGGTGCTGAGGAAAAATTCAAGGAAATAGCCGAGGCGTATGAAGTGTTGTCGGACGCGAAAAAGAGAGAGGTTTACGATAAATTCGGCGAGGAAGGTCTGAAAGGTGGTGCTTCGGCTAGCGGAGGCGGAGGAGGTGCCACGTATACCTTCCACGGCGATCCCAGGGCGACGTTTGCTCAATTCTTCGGTTCAGCCAGCCCTTTTCACAATTTGTTCGAGTTTGCTGGTAACCGTGGTGGAGGATTCGCATTCCACGACGAAGACATGGACATCGACATGGATCCTTTCGGACTCGGCATGGGACCACCGCGACAAGGCGGCGCATTTCGGTCGCATTCGTTTAATTTTGCGAGTCCGAATACTAAAGGGGCTGGCAAAGATCGTGCCCAGGATCCGGCCATCGAGCATGATTTGTACATCAGTCTGGAGGAGATACTGCGAGGTTGCACGAAGAAGATGAAAATATGCAGACGGGCCATACAGCCAGACGGTAGCACCAAGAAGGAGGATAAGCTTCTCACCATCAATGTGAAACCAGGCTGGAAAGCTGGCACGAAAATCACTTTCCAGAAGGAAGGTGATCAATCACCGAGGAGGGAACCCGCAGATATTGTCTTTATTATCAGGGACAAGCCGCATCCGCTGTTTAGGAGAGAAGGCAGTGACATTAGATATACGTGCAAATTGAGCTTGAAACAAGCTTTGTGCGGTACTATTGTCGAAGTTCCTACGCTAACCGGCGAAAAGATATCTTTGAATTTAACGCGGGAGATTGTCAAGCCGAACACGGTCAAGAGGTTCCAAGGACACGGTCTACCTTTTCCGAAAGAACCGTCGCGAAAGGGCGATCTTCTCGTGTCGTTTGACATCAAATTCCCTGAAACTTTAACGCAAAGCGCCAAGGATATATTGTACGATACGTTACCCAATTGAGCTCGTATTATTGATCGAAAACCGCGAACGCGTATGAGTTAATGTCGTCGTAATTTCATATGTTTTAATCTTCTCGATCAATAAAATACGGATATGTTTTCATGTACGTTCTAGTACATGGAGAGAGTAGCGATAATGATAGTGACGATGTCAACAAGGATGACGAGAATGACGACAATGACGGCGTTAATGACTACGATTCCGATGGAACGATCGAGAATTATTCAATATTCCCGCGCGCAATTTGCTCCTTAGAGGCCAAATCAAATAAGATAAACATGTACTTTTTTCGGCGTTACATCGATATTCAATTCAATTGAAATTCAGTGACTTGGTGTCTACATGTAGCGTTGGTCTCTAACTAAAGACGTCGAGAGTAAAACACACACATAAATTATAAAATAATTATAGAGAATCTGATATATCGCTAATTTCATGTGGTTGCACGTCTGGATTACTTTATTTCCTCCATTATACATATTATACATATGTGTAAGTATGCGTGGGTGTGTGCAAGTATGCGTGTGTCCTAGGGGTATACATGTAGTATGTACGAAGGCTGTAAGATAACGCGAGTGCGATATCAGAAATTTTATTCGTTTCACTTGAAACAGAGTTGAAAAAGGAAAGAGGGAAAAACGACGAGATGAAAATTTCAGATATTGCGACAAGTCTGTACAATACATCATTTTTGTCGTACACTCTGTCTGAAGCCTATTCTACAATTGTTGCAAAAGCATAATTGTAAATGTTACAGTTGCAAGAATTCACAACCGAAGAGAATATTCGACTGTGATTAGTTGATCCTTGCAACTATAACTAGGCTTACACACTTGTAGAATTAATATAAAATAATTTTTGTTTACATTAAATATTGCAAGACAAACTGACGAACATATATATATATATAAACAATCTAATATATTATATATATAT